TTGCACTCAGTTTGGAGGAATTTGCAGCTAGATAGCTCTGTTCTGCGGGGGAGAGTCCTTTCGTCACCCAGCTGCATATAGCATGTTGAGGAAGAACAGTAAGCTTAAAAAGAAACCTCACAAGGAGAATGGAGATCGGTAGTAGGAGAACTACAAGATGCTAATCTGCATATTTTCTATCATATGTAATGCCTTTCTTTGTTGTTTCTGAGTTTTTCTGGGTAAGGAGACCAGTTCTACTTAATCAGGAGCCACCACCCCATTACAGTTAATACCGTTGCTCTGGTACTGCCAGATTTCCAAGAAAACAACTATGGCTTACTCTAAATCCAATATAATGGTACAAATTCTGTTCCCCAGGACATAATATTATGGTGGTTGTTGTTCTCCTTGAATGTTGTCTGTTTATATGCTGGAATTTCCACCTTCTTCACCCACTCTCAAAGTTGTGGTTTGCTTTCAAAGGGTTTTTTTCCCAACGTTTGTCTTTAGATATAGTTTTATATATACAACACTTATGCTGCAGGCACAGTTGTCATTCATATCAAATACAGGATAAATTTTATCTGCTTGTTTTCCCTCATTTTGGAAGTAGTATTTCTGCCATTCCTTTTTTATTCTTCTGATAGAAGAACTCGTCCATAGAATAATCTGCTCTCCAGTGCAGTTTTTGATTACACAGAGTTATCCAAGAAGGATTATTTTCCGTAGCTCATACAAAGAATATGAGTTCAAGTGTCCTTATTACATGTGCATTTCACTGCATATTCTGCTGACTTAAAGTGCCGTCTTAGCCAAGCTAGTTTTAAAACTGACAACTTGCTGGTTTTCACCAAGGGCTTTATTTATGAGCTTTTGTGTGGCCATGTTGTTGGTACAAAACTTTCCCAGTCCTTTAACTCCATCCAGAGGATAATTATGGCTGAGTCTTGTTAATGCAAAAGTTTCAAGTAGCAGTACTGTTTAAAACAACTACAAACCACAGATCAAATGTAAACAGCTTTGTGTTAGATGTATTTAGTAGTATTAGGTTCATATTGAAACACTGGTATTAAGTACTATTAATTAATGGCTGTTTTTTAAACATTATCTTTCAGTGAAGCACCTTTGATGTACATGTTCTTTTTTATCAATGCCATACAGTTCAGATTGTTCAAAGTTGATCATTTGCAGACTTTCTATCTTTTGGTGTTTGAGAGTCCTGAATCACCCACATACTCCATAATCTCTGCAGAGGCACTTCATATCTAAGACAAACTAATCTGACTACAGTCTGTGCTTTAAAAAAGCATATCGTAAAGCCTCATACCATAGTTCCCTATGGCCTCTTGATATTTTCAAAGAACATTTATAGTTTATAAAATATAATATAATACAATACAATATAATATAATACAATATAATATATACATTAAAGAGTTCTAAATTATGAATGATCATCCCAGTATTAACATTTATTCTCTTTTAAAACAGCAGTTCTAGAATCTGTGTCAGTGGATCGGGCAATTCCTGAAAGCAGCTCAGCAATGGATACCTCAGAGCCTTCCCCATGTAGATCCCCTTCGACACCACGTCATCTCCGCTATCGTCAGCCAGGAGGTAAGAACCTGATGTTTCTTGCCTCTGTCAGTCGCTTTAAAGAGTTCAAATACTGTAGCTGTAACCTTTGCAAGATACTAGAGAAGAAAAATGTTCGAATAACGTGTTTTGCTTGATTTTCCTTATTTCTCAGATATTAAAAAAAAAGCCATTGCAACATGAATTACACTGGTTAATTTGTATAGTAATAACAAGAAACTTGGAAGCATATTGGGATTTTGGTATGATGCAATGTTCTTAAATAGCTCGAGCAGGATGTGCCCAAGTTCAAGACTAATACTGAATCGGTCATATTCTTACAACATTCTCAAGACTCTGACAGATTTTTTTTCAGCTACTAAGGGGACATATTTTGGGCACCATATGTAATCGTGAAATACACAACACCCATTATTGTCAACGAGGAGTGACTGTGTCTGTTTCTTTGTATAACACTGAACATTTACAGATGGTGTCATATTATTCGTTCCAAAATTTGAATAAACTGCTCAATTGAAGAGGAAAAGTGAGAGCTGGCGCTCCTCAAATAGCTCTCACATGGCTCTTTGAAATCATTAGCAGAGCTGTGAGCTACGTCCATGAAAATGCTGCCATCTCACACAAGCCAGATTTCCAGGCAGTTATTTCATGCCTGGGATTAAAACAACAAAAACAGAGCAGAGTCTTCTCAACTGTTAATAATTGCTGAGACAGCTTAATTTTAAACCAATAGTAGTCTTCTGTTATTGGGCACGTTTATGGTGAGATGGCAAGATTTGGGAGTTGGAAACCTTATTATCTGAGTACTAGTCAGAAGCAGTGTTCACAGCACTCCCTGTAGATAAAGTTTGATAAATTGTGCAAAAGTCTACTTATTCTAGGCAGTAACCTGGGAAAATATATTAATTTAGTTATTGGAAGTTAGTTAATATACTTAGTTCTCTAACATCATTTTTTGTTTACATTAATTTTCTACACCGTTGGTTTTGTAATTTTTTTTCTTTTTCTGTTTGGTTACTCCTTATTCCTCACCTTGGCAGTGTCTTAGACAATTTTTTCCATAGCAACATTAATTATACCGACCTGGAAATAAAACTTAAATCACAAATATTATTATGATATTTTTATTTCCCTTAATATAAAGTCCTCTGTCAATGAAAATATAAAATGTTTACAAAGCATAAACATTAGTGAAGATTTTAAGTATTATTGTTGCTTAACTTGAAAAATAGGACAAGTATGTAGTAGTTAACTTTTCTCTGTGTGTTCCCTTTCCAGTTCAAACTGGTGACAACAGCTACTGTTCAGTTTCTCCTGCTTCTGCTTTTGCTATTGCTACAGCTGCAGCAGGGCATGGGAGTCCACCAGGTGAGAGAAATGTGATGTACAAAAGAGGCATAACAATAATAAATACCTAGATCTCGAAAGGGAGATACTTCTCAGTAACATACTTATCTGAATTCTAAATAGCCACTGATTTGTTACTTTAATCTGCTGGTGTTGTGAGCCTGGAATCCTGCCCTTTGTGTGGACATTGCAGTACAGCACCCATAGTTAATTGGAGCCTTGGCTTCCAGTTATGTGTGTTATATTATGGCCAATATGAAAGTATTTGTGATGTAACTAATTTAATTGAAAGTGAAATTGACCCATAAGAAAGACTAAAACAACTTAAGACAGACTGTTCAGGTACATCTACCCTGTTGCATTTCCTGCTGTGGCAGTTTGGAAATTCTACCTGATGAAGCAGTTTATGTCACCAAAGAGTAAAATCATCTTTTAGGCTGTTTATATACCACCCTGTCCTGGGGAGTTGCCAGCAACTATCATCATGTCTGCTTGAAAGAAGGAAAGGATGATATATTTCTGATATTCAGAAATATCTTTTAGAACAAAACATGAAACCTAACAAATGAGGACTGCATAGTATACCACATACCTTCAAGAAGCTTGTGTGAGCTTTGTGCCTTTGTTTTGTGGACTCTAACAAATTGCCAAACTATTCAGTGAGATTTTGAACTATCATAATATAAACCAATGAGAGCTTTTCTTGCTGACTTACATCAGAATTATATTTATCACTGCACATTTTCAGTTCATTATCTATTAGTTGAATTCTTGTATTCTGTCCTTAATATTTCTAGTCCAGCCTAGTACTGAAAGATTAATATTTTACATATATGTAATCTGCTAAACATATAGATCATATCTTTATTATTTTTATTTTTTGTATTCATTTACAATTTAAGATTTTATTTTGCAAATGAGCCTTTTTATGTCCAAGGTTGGTATACATAAGAGCAGTTATACTTAACTAAATTATTGCAAGTGTGTACTGTGTATTCCTTGGAAAGCACCTATGTTGTCTATTGACTGAAGGTATTTAGTGCAACTTAAAATACTTGATTTAAGTTTTGAATTTGCTTGCTTTCTTGCTGTGTACCCTTTGACATATTAATATCTTCCACTAACTGAGTCCTGTCCTAGGTTTTGTTACAGATAAAAAGCAGCACTTTTAAAGTCCACAAAATAATTTTCGCTTTGCATTGACACACTCAAACCCACAGCTCATTTTGATTATGTATGACAAAGTGTAGTCCAACTGTAACTTAACACCTGCCTCTTTTCCATCATAACTTTTGGAATGACAACAAACTGTTTCAAGATCCTAATCTCAAAATCACTCATGAAATTCTATGCAAATCAGTAAATCATCACCATTGATTTCAGTGGGTTTTGTGTCCACTGTGTCTAAAGTTGTGGTCATTCACGTAGTGAGTGAGTAGGCATCATGATGAGAAAATAATTTCTGGATAAACATGGATCAGTGCTTCTATTACTCTTGTGTACTTCCTGTGATCTTCAGATGATCACAAGAGAGTAATGTTGAGTTTTAGGAACTTTATTAACCTGTCACAAGCATGTATTTAGTATTTTTTTGAAAAATACGAATATCCTCTGTCTGTGGAATCAGATATTGCTAAGGAATCAGTGACACATTTTGCTTTATGAATTAATTCCACTATGTGTACAAATTGTTCAAAAAATGAGGTAAAAGTAAAAAATACTGGGTTTTCCCACTAGGACCAATTCAATTAAAAATTGCTGCTTTTATATTGTTGAAAGCAGCATTTTTCAGTATTCATAGTATTGAAGTATGAGAGAAAATAAAAACTACATGTATGCAATCAATAAAAGGAATATCAAAGCATGGGGATGTTGAAAAAGGAAAAAGCAACATCCCTAATATTCTTAAGTACTTTCTGTAACTGCTGTTTAAGTTGTTGCTGTTCATGCTAGTTCTGCATAAAAGATCATTCTTCTGGGTGATGGAAGAACAATCAGAAGGTTCTGTAGCAAATCCAACGAGAAAAGTGTGTGGTGGGGAGTCTCAGGAGACTAAGCTGGAGCAAGGCTGTCCACTTGTATTAATTATGAAAATTTAAGGCTACAAACCACAGCTTAAACAGCTGAATCATCTGTTTGTAACTTAATGCAATTAATCATGATAGAGATGTTATTAAAGCTTCAGAGTCATGCAGTTCAAATTTGGGTAATTCAAATAATTTTATTTCTTCCTCATGGATGTGTTATCATAATTACGTGGGTGTTTTAAATAACACCTTATTTCCCCAGTGGACTCCTCTTTCATTCACTGCATAGGATGGACATGATCCATCAGTGAATCATGTCTGAGTAGTGAATGAGATTTATGGCTTTTTTTCTTTTTTCAGTTGATCCTTGGCCTCACTGCTGCAGACATTGTGATGTATGACATTTAATATACTCCTACATGGAACATAAATAGAATGGCAGGTGAAATTCAGTGTTGATAAATACTAAGAAGTGATGCATGTAAGGAAAAACAGTCTGATCTCTACACCTGACAGGGTGAGCTCTGTGCTGGATATTATCGCTCAGGACTGAGATCTGAGGATTACAATAGATAGTTCCATTAAATGATCTTAGTGCTCAGCAGGAGCCAAAAAAGTAAAGGAAACATCAGGAATTATTAGGAAAGGAACAGAGAACAAAGCAGATAAGACCATTACGCTATCACAGTCAATCACAAATCCAGAATTTGCACACTTATTGAAGGCTGTGTACAGTTGCGATATGTCCTGTTAGAGATGAGGGGATGAGAGGGGATGAGAAAGTTGCCAGTTTCCAGTCAAGGATAAGTGGAAGTATGAAATGGCTTCTGTGCTTTTGAAGTTTAGAGAAGAGATGACTTGGAGGGTTGATGAGAAAGTTCTGCAAAATCACGGATGTCATAGGGAGAGTTAGTAGGCATTTGTTGTTTTTTCTGATGCAAGAGTTAGGAGGCATCAGATGAATTTCATCAGGCCAAGGTTCAAAACAAACACAAGTTTTTGGTTCTTTGTGCAACAAATAGAAGGCCTGTGAGATTCTGGTGAGGGACATTGTGAAGGGAAGACATGGACCCAAGTTCAAAAAGTGGACAGCTACCTGCAGGTGAGAGTTATTAGTAGTTAGTAGACTAAAACTAGACCAGGTTCAGGAGCTGAAATCAGTTGGAGGTTGTGGGAGAGTATTAGGAGGTAAGAGTCATCTGTGTGTCTTCTGTTCTTATTGTTCCTTGAAGCCTTCTGACTCCTGGCCATTTTGTTTTGTTTTCCCATGGTATGATCTCTTAGCTCTTCTCAACTTTCCATCTTCCAGTTCTGACTGTTCAGGGATTCATTGAGGCAAGCAAGTTAACAGACTCATCAGAAACCCCTATAGTCACACACTCTACCAGAACCAGACATAAAGAATATTTAATCATCTCCTGTGGAGAGTGCTGGCCATAACATTTTATAATTGCTGTCACTGTGCAATGATAAGTTTATATACTGATCATCAAGCAAAGCTCTGAACAGTTCTCCTAGGGTGTATGATGGATTTGTTTTTCTTATGATAAGCAGCTGGGGGACCACTGACTATGTTGGTTTTGTCTGCAGGCTTCATGACTGCAAGTGGCTTGATGGAAAGCCAAAGTTGAAACACTTTTCAGTACTTTGGTCTGCTTTAGATATTGATGCACATTCCCCTATGGATGCAGCCTGAGTGCCGTGCACGTTGGCAATGTTTTCAGTCTGCTCCATCCCCACTGTGTGCAGATGGGTGCTGTGCTTCAGGGACCTTGATAGTGTTTTCGGGGTACCCTCATCTGTTGGGTTCATTTGTTATCTGGGTGCATATGAGGTGCACATATAGGGCTAGCAGGGCCTTAAGAACAGCTCATGCTAGGGTTGCCCTACCACACCATGTGCTGCACTAGTTTATGAGCTGCTGAAAAGGAGGTGCTGGGCACCACAGTATTGCTCTACAGCACGCAGGGCTTCCTGCAGTATATGGAATGTTTCTCTGAACCTGGATGGTTCAGATACTTATGCCCTTCAGTAGTTGTTTTTTTAATTTACTGATTTTGTTGCCATTAATTTCAGTTACTTGACAGGTAGCTGCTTTCATGATGCCAAGCTGTACTCCCTGTCCTATTGTTTAGTCCATCTATCCAGTTAAATATTAATCTCTACATATCTTAAACATGGTTTCATCTCTTCTTTTTCACAAAATTTGCATATTGCTTGTTTATTTTAACAGCATGATAAAGATAAACAGAAATAGGAACTGAAAGTACATAAAGTTAAATAAGGCACCCCAGGTGCACAGCTTGGTGCCTGCATGAATGGTAATATGCACAGTAAGGATAAATAGAGCATGTTGTGTCTTTTTCGTGTCCTTTCTCTTTTGAGGGATATGAAGGATGGCTGGATGGCTCCTGGCTTGCTGCAGTTGTAGTGTTCTGTCACCATTAATAGGTTGCCGCACACCTTCATTCTTTTCTGAATTTGTAAAAATTAGTATAATAATACTAGCACATTCTATCATAGAAATGGACAAGTCAAATCATCTTTATTCTGCAGTCTTCTACAGCTTTCTTGCATGGCAATAAAGCTCATTCTTCAGCAAGGGAAGAAAACAGTTATGCAAGCATCCTTTTCCAGAACCGTGAAAGATACCCAGTTTTTATGACTGGGTGCAAACTAGTATAAATTCAAATTGTTGATACAGGGACACATATTCTTTATTTATTTTGAATTACTATCTCCCTTCTTGTGACGCATTGTCATTGCTCATAGCACTTCTGTTCACCTACGTACTTCTCAGAGTGGTACATCAGCCCTGAGCAATCACAAACATATGCCTGCTCAGAGGCATCAGTTACATGAGCTGTTTCTCTCCCCCCATTCATATACTTCTAGAGAATTGGTTCTTGATTTCTCCTTGAATCAATGACAGCTTCCAAAAGTAACACAGAGGTTATTTAACAGCTGTGTTCCATTGTCTGTCTTGTAATATGG